TACAAAAATTTAATATCGAGTCAAATGCATAAAACTGTACTTCCTTAAAAAAAGATTTAACTAATATATTTTTCCTTTTCATAACTAAAATGAGTATTGAAATTGCTTGGGATTCTTTACAACATAATAAAAAGTACTCAATATATGTAACTAACTAATCTATAGGAAGCCATAGGAAACTTTGGAAAGCTCAAAATAAAGAAAAAGAATAAAGACCAGATGTATGCCTAAATATCATGGCAAAAGTAAAGCTTGGCATTCTTGGACTACTTGCCTTTTAAACCATATTTGGCACTCCGTGATGCGCGGAAAGACTTGCAATTCATGGATTTCATAATTTCCTGAAGGTTCTTCAGAGTCCTAGATTCATGAGAATACTTAGGAGGACTCTGAGAAGCTTGTAAATGCTTGGGAGCGTTCTTAATTCTTGGAATTCTTCGATTACCTGGAATCAAAATAATTATTGCCTGCCCTCAATCCATAGAAAAGCTTGGAGCACTTTGGAATTCTTGAATTACTTGCCTCATTAATCATTTTCGGCAGTCCTGAATGCGTAGGAAGCCTTGGAATTCATGGGTTTCATGGTTTCCTGAAGAACCTTCAGAATACCAAATCCATGAAAAACCTAGGAATTCTTGCATCTCCTACTTTAAGAAACATTTTCCATGGGCCCAAATAGCAGGGAATGCTTAGAATTCTTTAGGGTGGATGTGGATAACTGTTGGTAGTGGGTGTTGCTGTGAGGATGGGTGGGGATGGGTGTGATTCTGGAAGAAGAGCAGAAGACCCACACCCACTCCCAGATCGGATCGAAAACGAGCTACTTCAACTCGAATGGATCGCACAATTGAACGAAGAGTACTCAATAAACGTCGATTGTCAGCGAAGAGACTGGTGCAGCAAGTAAAAAATGAATTTGGTGTATCTGGCTGTCCTTAGACAGTTCGTAATCGTTTAAATGAGGTTGGCTTATATGGCCGAGCAGTCAGGAAGAAATTATTGATAAGGAAGCAAAATCGGATCAAGCGATTGCGATGGGTCAAAGAACGAAAATCATACGTAAATTCGTATTGGAATCACAAGCAATTTCAATACTCATTTTAGTTATGAAAAGGAAAAATATATTAGTTAAATCTTTTTTTAAGGAAGTACAGTTTTATGCATTTGACTCGATATTAAATTTTTGTACTCGACTATTTCCCTCGTCAGCGACATAGAGATTGCCGTGTCGATCGAATGATAAACCATATGGGCGATTGAGTTGATTTGACTGTCCTCCTCTACCGTTTCCACCAATAATGACATTTTCCTGTGTGGTTTCTTTGGGCCAACGTACGATTCGATCATTTCCTTGATCAGCCACATAGACAGTACCCAATTGATCGACAACGACTCCTTGAGGATATAACAATTGTGTAAGACCATTTCCTTGCCCTTGGCCACCAGCCACAACAATGCCTTGTTTTGCACCTTCCATCCATTTCACCACACGATGGTTTCCCCAATCAGACACGTACACTGAATAATCTCGATCGACGTATATGTATTGTGGGTCCGAGAGTTGATCGAGACGATTTCCACGTCCATTGCCACCTGCAACCACTGTCCCTTGAGATTCTCCTCTTCGATATCGTCTCACTTCATCTTTTCTAACGTCAGTTACATAGAGAGATCCATTTTCATCCATCGTCAAACTCCAACAATCTATGATCGGAACGATCGTTTCTCCACTTGTCCCATTTCGGCGAGGCCATCGAACCACCCTTCTATTTGTATTATCACAAATGATGAGATTATCTTTCTCTTTGTCGACAATCACATCTCTGGGATTAGACAATTGATT